GCTGCCGCTGCTGCGGAGTCTCGCACCAGCTGCTCGTGGTAAATAGTATTGAGAAGAAGAACACGACGCGGCAGCAGTGGTACAATGTGGTTGGTGGCTTTCGCGGCGCCTTACCTAGCGCAACATGGCGCGATGTGGTCATGCGCACGTCGAGGTGTGTGTAATGGGACCGTGTGCGACTGCCAACTGCCAACCCCCCTCCTTCCAAGTCCAGACTGCCAACCCCCCTCTCTCTTTTTCTCATCGTTCGTTCTCTCTTTCCTGCTTTCAGTAGGATCAAGACGACCGTCTCTTGCAAGCACCACGAAAAAGTGACAAAACAAACGAGCATCACCACCCTCTGCCCGACATCACCAAGATGACGTTTCTCCCCGGAGATTGTTATCGTCGAAAAAAAAAGAAAACAAAAAATGGTCGATCCGCTACCCCTTGGCCACCCCTGCGGTGGAACAACAGCCGAGCAGAGCACGTATCTGAACCAATCATGGCCGAGGACGCGGAGAGGCCTTTCCTGCACCTGGGGCCGGAAGATGTCTTCGGGCCCCGACTGAACAGCTTCAACAGCACGAAAAAAAAAAAATTGTGGACGCGACCGTGACCAAAGCCGTCAAAGGTACGAGATATGCGCCTCCCGAGCACAAACCCATCTCTCTCGCGTCCCTCATCACCGTCCCTCCATATCCCTAATCAATCAATATCCCTTCACCAATCCTTCCCGCACGCCCCTTCCCATTGGAGCCCCACGTACCTGGGCGGCGTTATGATCGAAAACCAGCCGGGGACGCTTTCTCCGAGCACCTCCCCCCGGTCCGCCACCAACGACGCCTCCGTTCCTCGCCAAGCCAGCTGTAGCCGTAGCACGTTTTCCGCCCCGGGCTGCAGTTATCGTCGTGGTTGTTGTTGTTGTTGTTGTTGGCAGCCTTGGTGCCGGTGTTGGTGCTAGCGTTGGCGTTAATGGGGCGTAATGGCGGTGGTGGTCGTCGTTTTTGGTGTTGTTCGAGGTTCCACCTTCAGCAGCTGTAGCTGTGGCCGTAGCACACTTTCCGCCCCGGACTGCTGTTGCTGTTGTCGTGGTCGTTGTCGATGTTGTTGGTGTCGGCAGCCTGCGTGCTGCTATTGCCGGTGCTGGTGCTAGGGCGCGATGGTGGTCGTTAGCAGCACGTTTACCGTCCTGGACTGCTGTTGTTGTCGTCGTCGTCGTCTTCGTTGTTGGTGTTGGTGCTAGCGTTGGCGATAATGGGGCGTGATGGCGGTCCTCGTCGTCGTCGGTGTTGGTGGAGGCGCCGGCAACGACCCGCAGGGATGTGATCGAGACGCCTCTGCCGGTGCACTTGATCGCGTGGGAGAAGCGGCGACCCTCGACCGTCGGTAGGCGCCCATCGGCCGCTGCGGCGGCAGGTTGAAAATGAAGCAGTGTTTCTTCGGTTTTGGCGAGAGGGAGCGCATCGGTCATAGCGCAACACCAACACAACCCTACTACAGCAGTAGCGAACGCAAGATATACTGCTATTATGAACTTCTTCGTAATTGACAAGAACAACAAGCACGACAACAACCGGAGATTTCGCGAAGGAGGTAGAAGGGAACATGAAGGACCGCCAACCACAAAAACAGCAACAACAAAAACAACCACACAGCAGCAGCAGCAGCAGCAGCGGCAACAACAACAGCAGCAGTAACAGCAGCAGCAGCAACAACAACGGAAGGCAGGGGCGGGACGGGCATCCAACACACCGCCGGCTACGGTTACAGCCGTGATAGATTTGTACCAAGAAAAAAAAATCTTCTTCCACCTCCACGGGAGAAAAAGTTAGCCGGCGTTTTGGGGAACAGCATCAACATTTCCTTCCCGACATACCCATGTCTCCCCTTTACAAAAAAAAACAAACT